AACTGTATGTGAAATGTTCCTCTGAAGGTGCACTTTCTTCTCCCTGGAGGCTACCAGGCTGGTATCACGAGTGAGGAACTGAGTTAAGCAAGGAACGAGGAGAATTTGGTCTCTGTCTGCTCCTCTGCCTGTTCCATTTTCACAGAGGCATTGCATCAGGTCCCGAAGCTGGGGCGAGGGGTCTGCTACTCACCAGAACACGTTGGTCAGTTCTAGCACAGATCTTTGCCCTGGAAGTTTTTGCATTTTGGAATACATTCTGGTGTCACTTGCTACCCAAGAACTAAACCCATCTACCAGCACCTCTGTCTACAGCACAGATGTGCTGAGAACAAATGGCTTCCTGAATGGGTGTGATCTGCTGGGGCGGTGTGTAAACACTGGCTTTATGTTTGCAGGGTAAATGTTTAACATAGCTAAAGCACAGGGAGGGGGCTTCAGCTGGAAATGCTGAAGGTCCAGGCACCCTCACTGTTCTTCACAACACCAGATGAGGCATCCCTGGGACAAAGCAGATGCATAACAATCTTAAAAGAGCTGGCACTGGTAGCCTAGAGCACTGAAAAGCAGGGAAGTGTTTGAGGGAAGAGGTGACTGTGGGAACTGAACGTCACCCGTAGGTGCAGTCAGGCAAAGTAACAGTCAAAGGGTCACATCGTGACCATGATCCTTGTCTTGCTGCTGAGTTTAGGCTCTTTTAAAAGGAAAAGGTAAAAAAGAGAGATGGTATTCTTGCATGCGGGGCTACTGGAGCATCTCATGTTCCAGTTTGCACCCTGCCTGCTCTGTATGAAGCAGCTCCAGCAGCAGGAGTGAGGAGGACGTACCAGACAGCAGTGTTCACCTGCCCAGCCCTTGTCTTCCACTGTGGTGCTAGTAGATCTCCTGGACTGCCTCCTCCCATCTGCTCACACCCCTCACAGTAAATGTGGCTGCCCTCTCTATTTCCCCTTACATCCCTCAGCCGCCTTGTGCTCCTCAACCTTGGGCTCCTCACAGCTTGTGGGTCAAGAGCTGCAGGTGCTGCTGCTCCCAGCACGGAGGTTACAAGCTGCTGTCCCAGGCACTTGGGCTCACTGTTGGCGAGTCAGAGGGGCTCTGGTTCAGGGGAAGGGGTACTGTGGGCATGGGTACTGCATCAGGGAGGCAGGAGGAAAGACACAGTGCTTGGAAAGAGCCAGCACCATCTGAGTGCTCCTAAATGTGTTTCTGGGAACACGGGGTGATGACGAGAGTGGACATCAGCTGCATGCCTGTTGCAGGATGCCAGGGAGAGCCAAGTGTTGACAGAGCATGTCCCAGTGGTGAGTGATGCTCAGATTAGTGTTGCTGGCGGGGTTAGCTGAGGACAGGAGCAGAAGACAGCAGGACGTGCTCAGCAAACGGGAGCTGCAATGCTGCGCTCCAGCCAGAGGAGGAACATGAACTCAGGAATCAGCCAGCTCCTCGTCCTTGCAGCAAATATTTTCCCTGCTCCCCAGTAAGCTGCAGCACTTTTTTGTCACCTGACTGCACAGGTTTATGCAGCTTTATAGGTTGTTTTCTCATAGATAAAACCCTCAGATTTTGTTTCAGCATCACCTGCTTCCCAGTTTCTTACGCAGCCCCTGCTCTGCGGTCCCGTGAGGAAGAGCCGTGCGGAGCTCTGGGAGCTGATGGAGGAGATGGCCACAGCTCTGCTGCCACCTCACAGCACCTTGCCCAGCTCCTGCCAAATCCCCTCCCTTTCCCTGCTGCTACCTCCTGCTAAAAAAAAAAAATAAATTAAAATTAAAAAAATGCGTGGGGCCAAGCCTGTTTGTAGGCTCGGTGGTATTTTGGGCACTGCTGCACTGTCTGAACACAGATTTGCACAACTTCTGTAAGGGGCTGTAACACGTGGAGGGATGGTGCAATGATACAACTTGGTGTCCATTAATAGTGTGCAAGCTCCTTTTTCTTTTAAAACCCTGGGAAGCAATGACTCCTGAGATCTTGCCATTCACACTAATGCATTTTGCATTAGTCTGTCACAGCAGGGGGACCCTTGACTCTCAGGACCAAGAGCAAAACAAAGGCGCCAGGTGCCCAGCCGTGCCGCGCACAGCCTGGGCGGCATAAACCACCCATCTAATGCGCTGCTTACCAGAGATGTCTGCGAATTAAATTCCTTGTTTAGGCAGCATCCCAGGAGAGACCCTTCCGTACTGAAACCCGTTGCGCTACCCTGCCTGCACGGCGGGCTGTCTGCGTGCCGGTGCGCGGGGCAGTGCTCATCGATGTAGCTGTTTTCCAGCGGCTGTTGGCCCTCGGCATCACAAACTGACTCTGGTGCTTCAGTTGTTTCTGCAGAGCTCCCCCCTCCCTGCCACGCTTTCTGTACGAGCGAGCGAACGTGGCTCCTGAAGGAAAAGTACAGACTGTGCTCTGCTAGCACGTTGACAAAAATTGATCTCTACTTTAATTAAAGCCTCTATTGTAAGTGACCTCGAACTGCTAATGCATTTTAAAAATGAAGCCTTGCCAGCAGCAAACCTATACACCCCAATACAGAGGGGTGACCAGGCAGTGATCTGTGCGGCCAGGTGACTTGCCTCCTTCCATGCTGGCTGTGCCGCCAGCTGTGTGTCCCCAGAGGCCATCCCACCACACACCAGCACACTCCTGCCCATGGCTCACACTGAAATCACCTTGTGCCCAGGTGGGATGCAGGGGAAAGATACCACCCTGCCACCATCTTGAGCATGGTCCCTCTTGCTGCTGGGTTGTCTTTTCCCCCTCCTGGCATGTGGCCACAGGATGCTCTTGCCTCTCACCTTCAGCCCACGTCACAGGGATGCAGCCACTGAGACCCCTTGCAATGCCAAAGTGAGGGGCCCAAAAGCAGGAGAGGAAGGGAAGCGTTTCACCCCAGGGTGAGCAGCAAGGGGTCTTTGGGGATGGCCCTGAGCCCTCTCCTTGCAGGGGCAGAGCTGGGGTGATGGGCTGCCTGGTGCAACAGTCTCCAGCACGCAGCACTGCATCAGCCTCGGCTGGGGAAAAATAAATCGTGTGTGTATGCTTAGTTAAAGGCTTGTAAGCTAAAGAAGATTCAGTCTCTGGCAATGAACCGATCTGAAAGGGGAAAAGAGCACAAAAAGGCTCTCACAGACAGTAGGTAACACCCGTACAGATACAAATGCCTCCTCTCCACAGCGAGACCCAGATGGGATGCTGGGCCGGCGGCCGGCAGACGCTGCGGCTGCTCTCGCGGGCACCATGGTAACACCATGGCACTCACCAGCAATCAATGCACGGCCTGACTGTGTTGCACTGGGTCCACACCGGCCCCCCAGCTGTGGGATGTTGTCTGGTCTTGTGAGGTCCAGGGCTTGGGGTGAGGAGGTGTCCCTTGGGTTCACATTGCAGCTCTGTGGGCTATGGGGTGAGTTTTGGGGACCTGTCCCTGGGTCACTGCTGTCCACAGAAGTGCACTTGTTGATGGGATGATGGGATGGTGGGACTTGGGTGTTCCCAACCTGCTGGTGTCAGCCAACTGGCCACAGCAGCCCATGGCTTCCTCTGCATTTTGACCCAGCTGGTGACCGTTTCCTTCAGCATCGAAGGAAACAGCTGCAGCAGAAGCTCCTGCCAGGACAAGTTGCTTTTCATCCCAGTGCTACCAGAGAGACATGCAGGGTGAAACCCCCCACCCTGTGCTCCCCCGCAGACCTTCTCCCCAGCCCCAGCTCTGCTCCGGCTTGCCAGGCAATGGCAACAGCCTGGAGCTGCCTTGCGTCCTGCCTGACCCGTGTTTTGTGTCCTGCCTGCTGGCACTGCCCATGACCGGGGTCTTTCTGCAGGCAATGGGCAGTGGGTGGCAGAGCCAGTCTCACCACCACACGCTGCTCGTCACCCTTCCTCAGGGCTCTGATGTGCCTAATGATGAATTCCCAGGTCTTTGAGAAGGGATTATGTCTTCCAGAGACTAGAACAAAATATAATAAACTTAAAATAGCTGCTTCCTTATGGAATATGCCAACAAGCCCTACTGAAAACCCAGTAGAGTGTAAATTTGCATAAATTTGCATAAATCTCCATAATTTCAGCCTCACCCATCAGACCTGCTCCCTTAATGAAGCACTGCCTGACATTGTGGACAGATGAGGGTATCTGACACACACCAGGCTGCAAATACCACCGCTAACGAGGCCCCTCAATGCCAGTGCTACCCCGACCCTCGTTAGAGACGGGACAGAACAACTGTCCCCAGCCAGTGGGTTCCTGC